AGGTTGTGGGTATTTCCATTTTCCCAAGTAGAAACTAAGATAAAATTGATTTAGGTTGGTAAGTCCTTTCTTCCAGTTGACTAGGCTTTGATAAAACCTCACATGCTGGTTAGATTCTGATAAAATAAATGTCCCTATATCAGTCTTTTAAGGAGATCAGAGGTTCTTGTAACAGATTTTTTTCTTCACTTTAAAAAATGCACAAGGGGACTTTCTCTAGTCTTCACCTAGAGAGCCTGGTGTACTTTCTGGAAAGAAGGTTCATGAAAGAGTAGGGGGTCTCGGTAAGCACAGCCTTTCAGTGTTAGTCTCCAGCTCATTCTTAGACTCCCACAGCTAATCAATATCCCTTTAACATTGTCACCAGGGTCAGTGATCTGTGACACCGCATCATCTATGCTATAGTTTCAGGTGTCCTGCTTCCTTATGACCTCCCCTCTCTGAAGGACCTAGAGCATGTTGCCTATGCTATTTCCCTTTGCATTGGCATACACAAAGCAATTTTGTTCCATGCTTTTTGTTTGTTGGTTTGTTTGTTTGTTTTTGTTGAGTAATAAAGTTTTGGGCACAGAAGAGTTCACTTTGCCAATATTTTTAGACTCTTACATCTCTATTATTTTATAGAAGTTTGACAAATGCTCATTCTATAGAGTAGATCATTGAATGAGAGAAATTACAACTTTAAGGGATTCATCTTAAATGAAGTCCAACATGCTTTGACAGTAAAACTATTTTACCTAATGAAATTTTAAGTGGAAGTATATTTTACTTAATCATTACTTTTGGTGTTCATTTAAAGGACATTGGGGTCACATCTGCTTTTCTCTCATTTTATTCTTTATGGAATAAAATGATGGAGACATCATTCTAGATTGGAATGTATTGATGGACAAAACAGTGAAAGACTTCTGATGATAGTGAATATGCTCTACTTTGAGGTAATAAATAATAAAAAAAAATGTAAGTTCTGTGAAATGATTGGAAGTTAAACAAGGCATGGTAACTGCGGAAACTGAGGACACAGGGCAGGCAAGGATTTTCATTGTAAGCAGGACATTTAGGATAGATTACATTGAGGAGCCGGGTGGTTGTGGTGCATGACTTTAATCCCAACACTAGGGAGGCAGAGGAAGGCAGATCTCTGTGAGTTTGAGGTCACCCTGGTCTACAAGAAGTAGTTCCAGGACAGCCAAGGCTGTTACATAGAGAAACCCTCTCTCAAAAAGGGGAGGGGGGAGGTTAGAGTAGATTGCATTTAGGAGGCAATGATTGAGCAGATTTGAAGAGAGCTCCGCCATGAGGACCTTTAGGCATATGAGTCACAGCATGCAAAGAAAAAAGAATTGACATGATCTCAGAGAGAGGTCAGTGAGTTCGAGTGAGACAACTTAGCAGTGGAGATCAAAGCAGTACTAAGGACCAGGTAAGGACTTAGCTTTGTTTGATACTGTGGTCCTATGAACAGATGGTAGATACAATTGATTTAGGACCTAAAAAGACTATCTGTCTACTCTTTTGAGATCTGGCGTTATGAAGACTCATTAGGAATAGTTGCAACAAACCAGGTCAGAAATAATGTGGCTCAGACAAGAATTGTCTTGATTGAGGTGATGGTCCACAGGTAGTAGAAAGAAAGAAGATTTGAAGGCACCTCTGGGTTTGGTAGAATGAAGAAAGATAAAGAAGGTGGAGAAAGCATTGGATAATGTTCGCTTTGTGAGGTAGGGCAGACTTTACTTCAAACATGTTAATTTTGAGGTACCGAGTATATGTGCAAATAAAGGTCTTAAATAGATACATGGAACTGAGGGGCATTATTTGGCTAGAACAGTAACAAACAGATGCTATTTAAGGCACATGAACATGTAATGTGAAGGTGCTAGATAGAGAACTGTAGGTGAAGGGCGTAGATAGAGAACAGCAGCCAAGACACTTTAAAAGGCATGTGTATGTGGGCAGTGGGTGGTGTGGAATGAAAGGAAACAGGAGAAAATGAGAGGGATCATATGTAGAAAAGGGGAAAATTGATCAAAGTAGAAGGAATCAAACCTGCTTTGTCAAAGGCTATTGGTATGTTATGCAAAATGATACGGACTAGGATCACTTTAAAAGAGTTATAAATGGAAGGACCAACTCACAGTAACTTTTTATTATACTCACAGATTGGGGCATGTCCCAACCCTCATCAGAACAACTTCATTTGGCAGTAGATGGAGGCTAACACAGAAACAAGTCATGGGCCAAAGTGTAGAGAGCAAGCGACTGTGGAGTACTCAGACCTAAATAAGGACCTCTATATCCCACCCCTTCTCCCAAACTCGTGAATTGTTGCTGAAGAGGGTGCAGAAAGACTGTAATACCCAGAGACAGTGCATGGCTACAAGGAAACAGTACTTTCTGCACACAGTTGGGCAGCTGTCATATGAACTCATGGCAGTTTCGATAGCATGTATGACGCTTGTGCAAACTCAAGCCAGCCCAAATCGTAACACAGAGATAGAAGATGAGCATAGAGTCTCATTCCCGGCTGAGAAGCTATTGGTAATTAATAGCTGCTGGGAAAGAAAAATTTGTTTTGTTTTTAAGAGCATTGGCTTCCTGTAGCTCTAATATACTCTACTGGGTGGCTATACACAAAAGTATATATAAGCAGCCCTAAATTTGACTTGATGGATTTAAAAAAAAAAATAAATGAGGTCTCTAAGTTGGGTGGGTATGGTATAGGGGATGAGTATGGGAGTAGATGGGGAATTGAACACAATCACAATACAATGTATGAAAATCTTGAATTACTAAAAAAAAATTAAGAAACAAAAAGAAGTACTGAAGGTCAGTAATTGGACATTGAAAATTTGAATATAGGGGTTATTCAACTTGGCCTGAGATGTCTTCAGAGGCCATGGCAATCTCCAAAAATAAGAAAGCTACTCTTTGCCCACTGCACCCACTGTGAAGCAATGTAGGTAAGGACATGGCTTGCAATATGGCCCTGATATTCTCATGGGATTATTCAGATATCCCTCAAAATCCCAATGACATCTAGTCTACCAATTTATACTTCTTCCGGTGTTTAAAGAATAGGATGGCCATCTACAGCTTATTCTAAAGTTCTGAAAACTGGTTATTTTTATTCAATGAACAAGATTTTAGTTTATAAAAGTGCCTGGATTTAAGAATTCCCATGAGACATATTATTAAGTTTGGGAATACGCTTTATAAAATAAACTGAAAAATAAGAGAAATTGGGGTTTATTTTTCTTAGAGCTCTTTTTTTTGTTATTTCTTATTTTAAATGAACCTATAAATTTTACAGCACTTTATTGTAGAGGTCACCAGTTATTTGACTTTATTTTTCTACTAAATAAAATTATATGTTTTATGCTATGTCATCATAAACTCTATTTAAAAGAATATATGGGACATGACACACCTTATATAGGTTGTATTTTCAAATGCTGAATGAATGATTAATGATAGTTAAAAATAACATGCAATGTTGTATACAAAAAATATATTCTTTTTTCTTTCTTTCTTTTTTTTTTTTTTTTTTTTTGGTTTTTCGAGACAGGGTTTCTCGAGCCTGTCCTGGAACTAGCTCTTGTAGACCAGGCTGGTCCCGAACTCACAGAGATCCGCCTGCCTCTGCCTCCCAAGTGCTGGGATTAAAGGTGTGCGTCACCACTGCCCGGCCGAAAAATATATTCTAAACTTTTGCACTTTTCTTGTTCAAGACATGGTAAAGTCTCTAATGTGGTGTCACATGCCCGTAATCTTGACACTCGGGAGGAAAAGGCAAGAGAATTGCTACACTACTTGGCGAGGACTGATTGGGATATACAGTGAGTACCAGGTCATTAGCCTTGGTTAATGAATTAGGCTGTCTCAAACAAACAAACACAATAATAAGAAATTTCACAATACACAACTGTAAGCAGTTTCACCTTACCCACTCCCCACCCCCCCAGACAAAAAAAAGCAACAACCAACTGACCAAGCGAACAAACAAACAAAACACTGACTTACAGTAACTAGAGATAGGTGTTAACAATATAAATTTATGAAAATGTTTATAAAACTTGTATCAGAACGAAGCCAGAATATATGCTGTTATGAAATCACTTTTAATTCAAAAATATTAATAGCAATACTTTCGGGTAAACTAAGTATTATGTAACTGAGAATAATTAAAAACTATGTACACAATGTTTTAAGTGATTCCGAAGTCTCAAATAGTTCTTAGAATCCCGAGTCACTTGTTCTCAGTGATATAGCTGTTGTGTATCCACCATCTTGCCACGTGTGTTCTTTGTCTTTGACCCACCCTATAACTCCAGTTCTATTTAGGTAAAATATAGCGCTAGTGGGGAAAAAAAAGTTAATTTTGACATTTGAAAAAATGCCATACTTACTTTTTTGTGTTTTTTTGTTGTTGTTATTGTTGTTGTTTTGGTTTTTGTGTCATGTGTTGTTAAGCCATATAGGATAAGATTAGTGTTAAGAGCTGTGCTTGGGGCCTTATAAATGAGCTTCACCTGAATTACCAACCTGGTTTCTGTAATGATTTGCATACAATCCCTGGATCTCAAAATTAAGACAAATCAAACAATGATAAGATGCACATCTATTTATTTACATTTATATTCATATTCATATATATATGATACATGTCATAATACAAATATATAATTGCAAGCCTGAGTAGCATTTGAGGCAGGAGAGTGATGGTCATTTGTAGTAGTAAGGAGGAAGTGGTTTTTGGTAATGTTTATAGGGTATGAGGGATTAGATAACGTCTATTTCTTAAGCTAAACATGTTGGCTTATGTATCATTTTTATCATAAAATTTCAAAGCTGAAAAGTCTCACATAAGCAAAATTATATCATGATTACTTTAGTTTCTTTATCCCCTTCTAATTGAAATTTATCTCTGGTTTCAGGAGACCATTTCACAGAAAGCACTTTGAACAAAATGTCAGTTGTCTTTTCCTTTTCTTTTTCAGTTCAAAAGGACATAGTCCGGCTTCTCCCCAGTTTAGACGTTGAAGTCAAAGATATTACTGACTCTTCTGATGCTAACTGGTTTCTTCAGCTACTGTCTATTGAAGATCTTTTGGAAATGACCAGCAAAGAGTTTCCTATAGTAGCTGAAGTCATCGAAGTAGTTCAAGGGAATCAGCTGCCTCAGGGTATTCTACAGCCTGGGCAAACAATTATTATCCACAAAAAGTATCAGGCTTCGAGGATCCTAGCTTCAGAAATTCGAAGCAATTTCCCTAAAAGACACTTCTTGATTCCTAGTAGCTACAAAGGCAAGTTCAAAAGGAGACCCCGGGAGTTCCCAACGGCCTATGACCTGCAGATATCTAAGACTGAGAAGGAAACTCTCCATGTGGTAGCCACCAAAGCCTTCCATACACTTCACAAGGAACTGTCCTCTGTTTCTGTTGGGGACCAGTTTCTAGTGCATCACTCAGAGACCACAGAAGTTGTCTTTGAGGGAACAAGAAAAGTGAACGTTCTGGCCTGTGAAAAAATCCTCAGTAAGTCCTACGAGGCAGCCCGGCTTCCTCTGTACATGGAAGGAGGTTTTGTAGAGGTGATTCATGATAAGAAACAGTACCAGATTTCAGAGCTCTGTACACAGTTCCGCTGGCCCTTCAATGTAAAGGTGTCTGTGAGAGATCTCTTCATGAAAGATGACATTTTGGCCGCTACCCCAGGACTGCAGTTGGAGGAGGATATCACAGACTCTTACCTACTTGTTAGTGACTTTGCCAACCCCGGAGAATGTTGGGAAATTCCCATGAGCCGACTGAATATGACTGTTCAGTTAGTTAGTAGTAGTAATTTGTCTATGGATACAGGACCAATTCAAGTTAGGACTCTGGTAGAAGAGATCACAGAAGAACAATATTACATGATGAGGAGGTACGAAAGTTCTCCCTCACATCCCCCGCCTCGTCCTCCCAAGAACCCCTCAGCAGAGGAGATGAAGTTAACCTTGCTCAGCTTAGCAGAAGAAAGAACAATAGATCTTCCCAAGTCTCCCAAGGTAAGACATCACGGATTTTTCTTGTCTAGACAATGAGTTTCGAGTTGCTTCTGAGTTTGCTTTTTACTTGCTTTTCTTTCTTTCTTTTGTACCGATTTGAAAGAAGCCTGTCTGATGCCTGTTAGATGAATGAACATCAGCAGAGGAGAAAGCTGTTGCAGCAGTTTGTTCTTGGAGATTTCACCAGTAGAAGTAGCATGAAATCCGTATGGAGTTAGAAATAGAGGTGATGACATTTGGCCACGGCTGCGCAACATTGCCATTCCAATTGACAACTGAACATGTTTAATAAGAGACCTCAGAAAGAATTTCCTTTGATTTTGGAAGTGTGGTTCATTTTTCTTAGGTAGAATTCTCTTAATACTTCACCCAGAAAATGAGCATACAATAAACTCCCATCTTCTGGTGGGGGTGGGGAGGGAGTAGGAGTTTACTAGTAACATGCATCTCTAACTCATGCCTTCGTTGTGTTTTGTGTGCAGAAAGATGTAAAAATATCTTGGCAGAACTATGTGTGAGAATGTGAGCATCTGCCCACATAATGCCTCTTGGAATTGTAATCTTTAGCAGTTCTACTGAAAAATAAAATCAATAAACCTACAGGCACCATGGGATCTCTATGGAACTGGCAAATCCACAACCACTCAAGATTTTAGACAGTAGTCCAGTATTATTTCTACTTGATCTTGATTCTTAATCACTGCCTGCTGGCTACTTGAACTAAGCTTGCCCCCACCTAGGGCATACATGTTTGTGTGTGTGTGGCTGAGGTTCTATGGTTTATGGAAGGGAAGTGTGTTCTGTCCCAACAGATTGCTAGAAGTACAAGAAAAACAAAACAATTGGTAAAAGAGATACTATCTATTCTTGCCTCATCTTTAGGAGCAATATTTGCACTGGGCATCAAGACTTGTATATAGATGTGGATGTGCTTGTGGTTGTATATAACAAAGACTATTCTAATTGTATGCTAAAGGAATCCTTAAGGAATACTAAACTCATTTTCTCTACCAGGGGGGAAAAAGATAAAACCAGCAAAAATTTCCTTTTTGGAAAACTATTTTTAAAAAAATAACCAAAATAAAACAGTTCCAAAATAACATTGATTAGCTAAAGTAAATGGTTTGTTTGATTTTCAGACTTAGCATATATTTCTCACTGAGTTTCAAAGATACTATCACTGGTGGTCAAGGTGTAAATCTAGAATTCCTAGGTTCTTGGCATCTTATTTCAAGAATAAGGCCAAAAATTCACATATTTGCAAATACCAAGAAAGCAATGTTCAAAGCAAAGCCATGGAACAGATCTCTGTCCAGTTCTCACGTGAATTTATGGTGTTGAGATCTGAGCCTCACTCAGAACAATGATGGTTTGTGTTGTAAGAAACTGCTTGTTCATCCTGGCTGCCCAGAACCAAAATAACCACACAGAAACTGTATTCATTAAATCACTGTTTGGCCCATTAGCTCTAGCTTCTTATTGGCTAACTCTTACATCTTAATTTAACCCAATTCTATTAATATGCATATCAACCATGATGTCGTGGCCTACCAGCAAAGTTTCAACACATCTATCTCCATCTACAGATCCATGGCGTCCCTCTAACTCCACCCTTCTTTCTTCCAGCATTCAGTCCAGTCCTCCCCACCTACCTAAGTTCTGCCCTATCAATAGGCCAAGGCAACAGTTTCTTTATTTGTTAATAATAATCACGGAACACAAAGGGGATGCCCACATTATGTTTGGAGTTGGTGAAGAGTTGTCAAGATGTTTTTATTTGAGGAGCAAGAATTGAGGGGCAGCTTAAATTTGAAAGACTAAACTGTATTAATTAAACCACTGCTTGGCCATTAGCTCAAGCTTCTTATTGGCTAACTCTTACATCTTAATTTAATTCATGTCTAGTATTTAATATTTTACCACAAGGCTCGTGGCCTATCAGCAAGGCTGCAGCATGTCTGTCTCCTGTGGTGGCTCCATGGCTTCTCTCCAGGTCTGCCCTTCTTTCTCCTAGCATTCTGATTAGTTTTCTCTGCCTAACTCTGTTCCCCTATAGCTCTGCTATAGGCCCAAAGCAGTTCCTTTATTCATTCATGGTAATCACAGCACACAGATGGGAATCCCCTATCATTGGTTGAGTTGAAGGGCGGGCACATTTGATGCAGTAATATTGTGACAGACTTCATATGACAGAAAAAGAAAAAAAGGTTAGAGCAGAAAACAGGGATGATGGGTGAAGGGAGATGTTGGTAGATGACTCATCCAACCGTTGAGAAGAATACACAATTTCTTGTTTCAGTTAATTCCATAAATTGCCATGTGGGTAGAAGCAAAGCATTGTTATTTTCTCTGAAATCTCTTAAAAACATCACTGATGTTACCATTTACCCGTATTCAGAGCTACTGGTCTACTCATGTTCAATAATTTTTACCCACCATGGAGCCTGGGGTTTTCTCAGTGGATTGTAGATGGAACACAGCAGATCAGTCAGTTTCTGTGTAATGTACCCAGAAGTGTTAAAAACCAGCGGGTTCTTATTGCCCTACTGTCACTCTCCCATGTCTTTTATATCCCATGGGATGACTGCACTAATGCTTTTCTCTCATGTATGATTTTGAAATAATTGGCTTTAAGATTTTTTTTTTATAATGCTTAACATTAGGGAGCAGCCATTTAAAGCAACCCTCTAAGTCTTGGGGTTTTACATGGGATACTGTTTTAAATTTGAAGAACAATTTGTGAGGGTTATTCAGAGTTTAAATATTAAGACTCATTTAACTTACTAAAATGCCTTTTTATATGCACAGAAAAGAGTGTTAGATGCTTCATTATGTGGCTTTACTTTTGCTTTCCTAATGGGTCATTAACTTTACTAGATCATTTCTTGCATTGCTAAACAACAGGGTAGATGTATAGGTAGGCTAAAAGTAAGATTCTACAATGTGTTAAACATTAGTAAAATCCATCTGTGGCAGGCATCTGTGGTCAGTTAGGAACACTATGTGTTCATCTAAGATGTTTCTAAATTAAGAATATATGGGGACATCTCATAAGAACTAGGTGAATTAAATAATTCTTTGCCATAATAAGATTACCAAGTATTCTCTTGTTTTGGCAATACCTCAACAAGGACAAATGAAACGGCAATAGAAACTTGAAAACTATGATTTAAGTACAGGCAGAAGCATATGAAAAGACACTGGATATCAAGATCAACTACATCAAGTAGTTTTACATGGATTTTATCATTTGCTATTGTAGTCAGAAGCTGCTCATTCATTTCCCAAAATAGTTACATAGAAACTATATTGATTAAATCACTGCTTGGCCATTAGCTTAGGTGTCTTTCTAGCTAGCTCTTACATCTTAAATGAACCCATTTCTATTATTTTATATTTTACTATGAGGCTCGTGGCCTACCAGCAAAGTTCCAGTTGGCAGCTTGAGTCTTTCCCCTCTGGCAGCTACATGGTGTCTCATTGACTCTTCCCTCTTTGTCCCAGTATTCAGTTTAGTTTTTCCGCCTAGTTCTATTCTTCTCTGCTGCAGGCCAAATCAGATTCTTTATTCATTGATGTGGGAGTGTCATATATCAATCTGTTGATTTCATTGGTTAAGTAATAAACACACTGCTTGGTCTCATAGCTTAGAACATAGGTGGGAGGAATAAACAGAATAGGATGCTGGGAGGAAGAGGAAGTGAGCTCAGACTCGACAGCTCTGCTCTGGAGCAGAGACGCCAGCTCTGCTCTCTGAGGCAGATGCAATGAACTCCGGCCCAGGATGGACGTAGGCTAGAATCTTTCCCGGTAAGACTGATGCCACACAGATTATTAGAGATGGGTTGATGGGGATATGAAAATTAGCCTGTAAGGGCTAGAGTTCATGGGCCAAGCAGTGTTTAAATGAATACAGTTTGTGTGTTGTTATTTCGGGCATAATCTAGCAGGCGGCCGGGGTGCTGGGGACGCAGCCCCGCTGCTCCTATTTCAACAATTCATTAACCAAACATATTCACAGCATACATATGGGAATCCCACATCATGCTGTAACAATGTTAACATATTAGTATATGGGTAATAATGCCCATAATCTAAATGTAGGTGGGGATTTCCAGGAAATCTGTACAATTCTTTTATGCTGATGACATAATGTAAAATAAAACCTCTAATTTCTATGCAATTAGAGTCTTAATTAGACAAATACGTGTTATAAAGGGGGTGAAAAAACAAAACCTTGCCTCTACTTCTACTTTGAGTAGGGAAACTCCTGCTCACAGGTAGGGTTTCTGTGTCTGAACTAGTTTCAAATAGCTCTGAAGAACATAGACTCGATGGGGTTTTGCCTGTCATGGATATATATGGCTATAGCTTTTGAGCACCACAAAGGAGAAATGGAACTTCTATGTTCTGATGAAAAGGCCTATAACCAGAGAGCAAAACAAACCTTTGGTTGAAAGATGAGTTATTCCCCATCTTCAGAGACTGTAGCTGGGCCCAGAAATCTTACATTTCATGAACTCTGTTTGGCCGTTTAATGCTCCTGTGTCCACTTGTTCCTGGAATTTCTAGACTTCTGTGGACAAGAACACCCACAGGAGACATTAAGGCAAAAGGCAAGGGGGAGGCAGTGATGCCAAAGTTCTGTGCAACAAGCAAAGTTGGAATGCTGCTGCAGAGCCAGAGCTGGGACTGCAAAAGGCAGAAGGAGAGCCAGGGTCTGTGCACTGCAGAAACAATACTTGCTCATCTGCTGCTACTGGCCTGTCACTTCTGATCTTGGCTGCGACAGCAGAATCTTATTAAAGAAATCCAGGCTTCTGGGCTACATGGAGAGGAACATGACAGACACTCAGTTGTAATTGACAGGATTCCATCCCAAATTCTGTGATTTTTGTTTTCTTTCTCATTCACTGGATGTGCTGTAGGCGTTAGGAGTATCGAAAGAGACGTCTGTCAGAGAAGCCGTGAATCTACTTTCTTTCTAAGTGGAGATTTTC